TCTTAGCTATATTGAATATATTAGAATGATCTAATATATTCCCTCTTAGCTATATTGAATATATTAGCTATTCCCCAGACAAAACTTAAATACGAATATTTTCAGTATAGTTTATATACAACATAATTTATATTTCAAATGTAACAAATATATAAATATAAAATTTTTTATTTCATCTTTGGAATAATCTCAGAATCTCATGCATTGTTAAAAGTTTTATCAAATTAATATTGATTTCTTAAACATAGCCTTATTGGGATGTTGCATCATCAGTTTATCACACTAATCGACATTTGTCGCTGGTAATTTCCACAATTAAAAATATGCGCTTAATTAATGGAAATTTTGCTGAAATAAAAATGAATTAAAATTATCCCGAGAGATATTATCAATATTTAATTGCTATTGAGCTCGCTTAACAAATATTTGCGCAAGTGTCCGTAACTTCGTTGAAATCTCTGCGGGAGCATCAACGAGGAAACTAAAAATTATACATTTGGAATATATATACATAAAATAAATGTAAAATATTCAACAAGAAACCTAATTTCAAGACATAACAAGAACTATTGTTAGATTATTATTAACTATATAAAATTGATTAAAATGTTACATCAAACGTATTTGATTTTTCAAAATATTTATACAGAAAACATAAGATTATACAGACAACATAATTTGAAAATTTTTTTTTCCATACATTTTATTGCTCATACATTTTATTATACATTTTTTTTACTATTTTTATGATTTTTTATTTTGTTTGTATTTAATAAAAAGAAAAACATATAGATGTAGTACAATTTAATAGATTGACAAGCATTTAGTAGGCAACTCTCTCTCTCTCCTACATCAAATTTACTCTAAAGGGAAAATACAAAATAGCTCTGAAAACATCCTGATCTTTTGAATATTTCTTTAACATGTTTTTTAAACACATTTCGAACTTCCTCGATGTTCGGTGACAGAGTCCCGAAGAATTTCTCAGGCTGAACGAAAATGCGTTTGGTCGAAAACACCCTGTATGTCGTCGCGCAAAGCCACGTAACCAGTAACCACTATGGATAGCTTAGGTTGGTTAGTTAGCGTGCAAGTACACGTATCAAAGGCACTCAGAATCCGAGCTTAACAAAGGCAGCTTCGGGTTTACCAACCGTGTCACGTAGTACGTGTATACCTTACCTGCCTGCCCGCGCGCTTCGCAAAACCTAAACCTAAACCTCCTGGCGGGCCGTATAACTTTGGCTTTAATGCGTCAGCGGGGAGCGGGATAAGTTTCAGGCGGGTCAATTAAAACTAATTATTCCCGTCGGCGTAATCGGAGCTCCCGCGGGCGATCGCGGCTAATTGTATACGCAAGGGCGTGTTTAAAGGGGGTCTCCGTTCCGGCATCGACAAACGGAAAACTACACCGAGAGTTTCTCCGGATAACTTTCGGGAAACTTTCGCATTCGGACGATCAACTTTGAAGAATCGAGATCTCGAATATCACGAAAATTCAATATCAAGCTTTAACTCATCATTAACGATATTGAAAATATAAACGAATGTGAAAGATGAATGGGATGTACGCGAAAAGAACACTTTTGCTGGCAAATCTAAAAAAAATTTGAAATACAAATACAGATCTGAAAATAATTTTGTTGGCCCATCAAAATTATTTTGTAGAACACTTAAATATGATGATAATACTGCAAAAATGTTTGATCTTCTAACAATCAATTTAAACATTGTATATAATAATTTTGAAGGTTCAACAAAATCGTTTTCAGATTTGTATTGTAGCCAAATTTTTAGATTTGCCAGCAAAAGTGTTCTTTCCGTGTAGATACATACAGAAACCAATATTCCAACAAACGCCTGCATATAAATGTTTTCAATTAATTAAACAACAAACGTATATTCCGGTACCAAATTATGTTTCAATTTAAATATAACTTTTGTCAAGTTATGATATAATTTTCACGTTATCTTTTCAAGGTCAAATGTGATGCAAATCAATAGGTTTAGTAAATTTCTTTAATAAAGTTTTCACTTTCAATTTGGTATACGATCCAACTGACAAGTATTTGCATCAACGTTCGTAAAATGGAAGAAGCGTGTAACAATATAATAATTATAATGATGACCAAGCTCGAGTAGTGTAACGTAGTCAGATCATAGAACGAGATCACTTGAATCATCAGAAGTGTCGATAAGCATCGCAAATTCGGCCTCGTATGCGTGTGCCTGACGCTTCTCCACGGTGGGAGCTATCACAAATTTCAAGCCAAATGTGCATCTAAGTACCTACTTAGACTCCCCCGTTTGGCGCAGGGGAGATCGCATTTGA